GAGCAGAGAATCAGGCAAAAGAGCTTTTTAGAACAGGGCAGCCTCACTGCAAGGGAGCATTTTTTCATTTCCCCGGAGTTGGCCTTTAAATCCTTGATTGTAAGAGGAACTGAAACATGCGGTCATACTTCTGTGTGGCTTTGTTTCAGGTGTTCCCTTCTACAGCCAAAAATACAGTGGTGGTTTATTTGTCCTGTGACTGAACTGGCACAGACAGGGGCGGACTGACAACTCATGGGGCCCCCGGGCAATAGAGGATCATGGGGCCCGTGTGTCCTTGCCCAAACTCAAAAAAGCCTATGAAAAAGGTACCAGGGGCATCTCATGTGGCCCCCTACTGACCCCAGGCCCTCGGGCAGTGCCCAAGTTTCCAAATGGTCAGTCCGCCCCTGGGCACAGATTATATTTATGTGTTCCCTTGACTATAGTAAACATGTGTGACCATGTGTTCCATTACAGCAGACATTGATTTGAATATGTAACTGTTCTTTGGGTATGAGATGCCTGTCATCCAGCAATCTCAATCTATTACATAGAATAAAACTGGATTGGAATCTTTTTTTTTAGTTTTGGATAGAGTGGAGAGCACCTATCAGGTTTTTTTTATCACTGTCTATGCCCCCATTTTTACCATCAAAAGGGAAAGTAAATGTTTAAGTTGTCACCAGATAATAGAAAATAAATCTTCCAACAAGGTTCTGGTGACAATTAGGGATCCCTTCACTTTTAAAGGATTCCCTCTCACTGCCTGTGTTGGCTATAGGACAGAAAGTGAAGGGAAATCTAAAAAAAATTGGGCCTTTAGTTCTACCTGAAAGCGGACCTTCAACCTCCCGCAGCACTTTCCTCACCTCCACCCCCACCCCCTTTGCAGCACCGACATCGATTTACTTTTTTTTTAACTTTAAAAGGCTCATCACACCCCAACTTCTAGAGTTCGCTTACGTGAATGACGTGGAGCCCCCCGTGCTTCCTGGGATGCATGATGTGCAGTCCCATTGAGTATTGAGGGGGGCCTAGCAGCACCTGCACCAGGAAGAGAGGAGGATCCCAGCAGCTCAATGCTGGATCTGCTGGCTACGTATGTTTACTATGCTGAAGACAATAAAAAGGGGGAGGGGCTAAAGTTCCTCTTTAACAATTTTTCACTGTTCCTTGTTGGTAGTAAAGAGGCAAATCATGCAATAAAACTCAGATTATACAGGATTTATATAGCGCCAACAGTTTGCACAGTGCTTGTATGTCAGAAATGGATCTTGGCTATTGCAATATATTTTGTGATTACAAGATACCTTGTACTATCTATGCAGAGTCAGGGAGAGAATTATTTTTAGCAAATAAAGGACTAACCCAGCACTAGTGGAAAAGAGAGGATGGAAACAGAGTCCGCAAAGGCCAATGACATAGTGTGGCAGAAAAAAAAGACAACAGTCCATCCAATTAAAAAAAAAAAAGTTATACTCCTATACCAGGGGTGGCCAAGCTATGGCCCTCCAGCTGTTGAAGTACTACAAGTCCCATCATGCTTCTGCCTCTAGGAGTCTTGCCTGTGGATATCTGGGTCTTGCAAGGCTTCATGGGACTTGCAGTTCCTCAACACCTGGAGGGCCATAGTTTGTACACCCCTGTCCTATAACATTGATCCAGAGGAAGGCAAAAAAAAAAAAAACAGCAAAGCACAATCCATTGCTCCTGCAGGCAGGGGCGGACTGACAGTCATGGGCCCCCGGGCAATAGAGGATCATGGGGCCCCTTGCCCAAACTCCCGCCTAATAAAAAAGGTACCAGGGGCATCTCATGGGGCCCCCTACTGACCCCCCGGGCCCACGGGAAGTGCCCGAGTCTCCAAATGGTCAGTCTGCCCCTGCCTGCAAGGGAAAAAAAAATTCCTTCCTGATCCCCTCGAGAGGCAATTGGATATTCCCTGGATCAACTTTACCCTATAAATTGTTAGGGCTGCTATACACAACTACAATCTGGTTGTACAATCTCATTTACCAAAATGATGTAATGAGGACAAACCTATACAATTAAATTCTATCCAATCTCACAGGCTCTTATGCAACTTAGTTGATGATAGATCTAAAAGGAGATTGTACAATCAGACAGTGTATGGAAAAGCCTAATGGTGGACACACATGGAACAATTTCATATGATAGTATTGTCCATAGATGCACCATACACGTTACAACCATATCAACTTTACCAAAAGGATGTAATCTAGAGGATTTACCTAATCTACCCTCTGGATCTGTGTGCAATCAGGCAGACACATAGTTGATGGTAGATCTATAAAGATTGTACAGTGTGTGGCCAGTCTTTGACAGACAAATGTTGTTTTCATTATGAAGCATGCACCCAGAGCTCTAGAATGAACTGAATACCTTTATATACACTGACTGACAGCTGAGCTACAAGACACTGACTTCCCCTCCCCATGTATAGAGCAGTCTAGCACACAAAGGACAGAGGTCAGCCTCAGAAACCTACAAAACAATTTCATACAGCAAAAAGGACATAAACACTGCCCGAGCCCTGACTTCCGGTCCGAGGAGAAGGCACAGGGCGGCGGACTGACACCCTGTAATAATACCACAACACACACCGGCGTTCTGAGCTCTCTTACCCAGCTGGAGCGCTCCCCTCACTCTCCGTACCCGGAAGAGAATAGCCACCAGCTCCAGCCAATAAGCGGCTAGAGGGCGGGGCGTATCTTGAGGCTCTCTCGGTCAATGGGCGCGTGTGTTGTGTCGGGGACGGTTGGCGGCACTATGGTGTTCTGTCATCTCCCTGTACAGAACGAGGATAGGCAGAATGCACCGTCTCTCTAACTCCCTTCATTGTATTCTCTTCTCTATGTACATTACTTAATATTGGCTTCTCATGCTGCATTACAGCTCGTTAAAAGCTTCCCCAGAAAATTGAATTATAGCAGCACTTCAGGGGAATTTAGAGCGAAGACAATGGCAAGAGAAAAAGGGAAGTGGAGGGGGGAGATGGAAAAATGAGAAAGATGAGGGGAGAGCAAGTAAGAGAGCCCAGGATATCAGAATACACTACTATACAGGTGTACTTCAGTTTACGAATTTAATGCGTTCTGCGGGACGTTTCGTATTGCAAAAAATCCGTAAACCGAAACGCGGTTTCCCATAGGAATGCATTGAAAATGAATAAATCCGTTCCGGAGGTCAGAAAAAAGTAGAAGAAAAAGTATTTTATCTGTTCAAAACTCTTTATAAAGTGCACTTTAAAGGCATAAATACTGTACAGGGATATGATTAAAACTTACTGTATTTTTCGCTCCATAAGACGCACCTGACCATAAGACGCACCTAGGTTTTAGAGGAGAAAAACAAGAAAAAAAAAATTCTGAACCAATGGACTGCAGACATAGTACAGGAGATGACCAGAGACTGCGCACACTGTACAGGGGATGACCAGAGACTGCGGACACAGTACAGGAGATGACCAGAGACTGAGGACACAGTACAGGAGATGACCAGAGACTGAGGACACAGTACAGGAGATGACCAGAGACTGCGGACACAGTACAGGACATGACCAGAGACTGCGGACATACTACAGGAGATGACCAGAGACTGCGGACACAGTACAGGAGATGACCAGAGACTGCGGACAAACTACAGGAGATGACCAGAGACTGCGGACACAGTACAGGAGATGACCAGAGACTGCGGACACAGTACAGGAGATGACCAGAGACTGCAGACATACTACAGGAGATGACCAGAGACTGCGGACACAGTACAGGGAAAATACCAGGGACACAGTACAGATGACCAGAGACTGCAGACAGTGCAGGGAATAACCAGAGACTGCAGACAGTGCAGGGGATGACCAGAGACTGCAGACAGTAAAGGAGATGACCAGAGACTGCTGACCTTTGGAGAGGGAGGGGGAGCGGGTACCTGAATTTGACAGGTACCCGCTCCCACTTCCACGGAGTTGTCCCTCTCTCTTCTTCCTGCGCTGGCTTCTGTGACAGCCGGGTGCCCACTGCGCATGTGCGAGAAGCGCTGCGCTTTGTGAATGGCCCGGCGCCTTCTGGGACCTGTCATGTGTCCCAGAAGACACCGGACCATTCACAAAGCAAAGCGCATGCGCAGTGGGCACCCGGCTGTCAGAAGCCAGCGCGTGAAGACTGTACAGCGCTGGAGCGAGGAACAGGTAAAGCCCTGCAGGAGAGAACAGCTGAGCGGCCGGCCCGGTATTCTGACATGGTGGCGGCAGAAATACTGGACCGGCCGCTTTATATTCGCTCCATAAGACGCACTGACATTTTCCCCCCTTTTTTTGGGGGGAAAAAAGTGCGTCTTATGGAGCGAAAAATACGGTAATTCCTAAATGCTTTGAAAACCAATTAATCCATTCCAGAGGTCAGAAAAAAGTAAAAAAAAGTCTTTATCTGTTCAAAACTCCTTATAAAGTGCACTTTAAAGGCATAAATACTGTACAGGGATATGATTAAAAATGCATTGAAAACCAATTAATCCGTTCCAGAGATCAGAAAAAAGTCTTATCTGTTCAAAACTCTTTATAAAGTGCACTTTAACCACTTGCCTACAGGGCACTTATACCCCCTTCCTGCCCAGGCCAATTTCCAGCTCTCAGCACTGTCGCACTTTGAATGACAATTGTGCGGTCAAACAACACTGTACCCATATGAAATTTTTATCATTTTTTTGTGACAGAGCTTTATTTTGGTGGTATTTAATCACCTCTGGGTTTTTTCTTAAACCAAAAACCACTGAAAATTTAGAAAAAAAAATGTTTTTTCTTAGTTTTTGTTATAAAATTTTGTAAATAAGTGATTTTTCTCCTTCACTGATGTGCGCTAATGAGGCTGCACTGATAGGCTACACTGATGGACACTGACAGGCATCACTGATGGGCACTGATGAGGAGGCACTGGTAGGTGGCACTGATGGGCATTGACAGGCATCACTGATGGGCACTGAAAGGCAGCACTAATACATGGCACTGATAGGCGGCACTGACTGGCACTGTTAGGTGGCACTGATGCGCACTGATAGGTGGCATTGATAGGTGGCACTGACTGGCACTGATGGGTGACACTGAAAGGCAGCTCAGATGGGCACTGATATGTGGCATTGATGTGCACTGATATGTAGCACTGATGTGGCACTGACATAAGGCATTGATGGACACTGACAGGTGGCACTGCTGGGGCTACACTGATCATTAGGGCACACTGATCATCAGTGCCCTGATGATCAGTGTACATGTCCCCTCCGCGGAAAGCCAATTACCGCCTCTCCTCTCGAGCTGTCAGCGCGACAGCTTGAGAGGAGAGAAATGCCAATAACCGGCATTTCCCTGTTTACATGTGATCAGCTGTGATTTGACACAGATGATCACATGACCGAGCTGACATCTTCGGCTCTTTCCGTGATCGGTGATCCGCTGTGTCCAAGGGACACAGCGCACAGCTGATCGCCACGCTGCGCGCTCCCTGAGCCACGCATGCGCAGTGAGAATGGGAGGACCAGAACGAGAGAACCACCTTGCGCCCGTCATATTACTATATGGCGGGCAGGAGGTGGTTAAAGGCATAAATACTGTGCAGGGACATGATAAATAAAAAATTGTAAATGCACTGAAAACCAATTAATCCGTTCCAGAGGTCAGAAAAAAAGTTAAAAAAAATTTTTATGTTCAAAACTCTTTATAAAATGCACTTTAAAGGCATGGGGCTGGTGCTATAAATGATTCATATTGTGAAAAAAAAATTTGTAAACCAAGTCATTATTTTCAATGGATTTTCATTCGTAAACCGAAAAACTACGTTAACCAAGGCGTTCGTAAACTGAGGTACGCCTGTATTGCCAAAAGTATTGGGAACCCTTTCTTTATACATGAACTTTAATGGCATCCCAGTCTTAGTCTGTAGGGTTCAGTATTGAGTTGGCCCACCCTTTGCAGCTATAACAGCTTCAACTCTTCTGGGAAGGCTGTCCACAAGGTTAAGGAGTGTGTCTATGGGAATGTTTGACCATTCTACCAGAAGTGCATTTGTAAGATCAGGCACTGATGTCAGATGAGAAGGCCTGGCTCGCAGTCTCCGCTCTAATTCATCCCAAAGGTGATCTATCTGATTGAGGTCAGGACTCTGTGCAGGCCAGTCAAGTTCTTCCAGCCCAAACTCGCTCATCCATGTCTTTATGGACCTTGCTTTGTGCACTGGTGCATGGCCATGTTGGATCAGGAAGGGGCCATCCCCAAACTCTTCCCACAAAGTTGGGAGCATAAAATTGTCCAAAATGTCTTGGTATGCTGACATCTTAGGAGTTCCCTTCACTGGAACTAAGGGGCTAAAGCCCAACCTCTAAGAAACAACCTCACGCCAAAATCTCCACATTGCATTACAATGCATATGAGCAAATACTCATTGTCCCTGAGGAAGTCACGTGATTTGTGACGTAACGCATAGGGCGGAAGCGTGGTGATGTCATTTCTGGTACGGATGTCAGCCGCCATCTTGGTACACCTTAGTGTTGTACACCTCTGCTGTTGCAGTTTTCCATGCCTGTATGGGTCTGTGGACACGTTTCTGAATGCGAGTAGTCACTCTGCTGTTTTCAATAAATGTTTACGTACTACACTATGGGAGTTTAAATGTAATTTCCATGTGTGGGCTATTGGAGAGGAGAGTTTCTGGCCATATTTGTGAGGGGACTTCTGAGTTTTCACTGCTGGTACGCTGATGAGGGCTTACCATCGCCACTATAGAGGATTGCCCTGATCATTACCAAAGGGATATACAGGGATATCATCGGATGAATGCATTGTAACCTGGAGGTGAGCACGCAAGCTAGCTGGTGGAGGATTTGTTTTTCTGTAGTCACTGGAGGCTCCACATTTTCTATAGAAGATACAGATTCATTTGAGACTATGTACAGTTTGTGTGGCAATTTTCACAATTATTCATATATTCCATATGTGTTTTATGGTACCCATTCACGCATTGTTGCTCACATATCAATACTGCCACTTTGTTCAAACTGGATGTTTTGTTGTTTGAGTGATCCATATCTATTATCGATTTACTAGTATATATATTTATATTTTTTTACAGATTGGATCATGATTAGTTTCCATGTATCATATGATTTATTTATCATCCCATGTTCACTTCATTCATATTTTATTGTTTATTGCTTGCTGTGTTTATATTTTTACCCCAGTAATAATGTAGCGCAGCACCAATATTTGCATTCACTAACACTGCCCATGCTATTACAAGGAATATTACATATACAGTTGAGTTCAAAATAATAGCAGTCAGACATCACTAACCTGATCAATCACTGTTTTTGGTAGAAATGATATTTCTACATGGCAAATAATTTACCAGCAGGTGTAGTAGAGTAATAGAAATCCAACAGACCCAACAATCATGACATGCATGCTGCGGATTCTGTGTAATTGAATCACTAATTGAAAGGGGCATGTACAAAATAATAGCAGTGTGGAGTTCGATTAGTGAGATCATTCATTCTTTGAAAAACAGGTGGCAATTATTGCCCTTATTTAAGGAAGGAAGGCAGCAAATGTTGTACATGCTGGTTACAGTACATTTCTCTCTGAAATTCTGAGGAAAATGGGTAGTTCCAGACATTGTTCAGAAGAACAGCGTACCTTGATTAAAAAGTTGATTGGAGAGGGGAAAACATATAAAGACGTGCAGAAAATGATAGGCTGCTAAGCTAAAATGATCACAAATGCTTTAAAATGGCAACCAAAACCTGAAAGACGTGGAAGAAAGCGAAAAACTACCATTCGAATGGATAGAAGAATAGCCAAAATGGCAAGGACTCAGCCAACAATCAGCTCCAGGAAGATCAAAGAAGGTCTAACGTTACCTGTGAGTACTGTTACAATTAGAAGACGCCTATGTGAAGCCAAGCTATCTGCAAGAAGCCCCCGCAAAGTCCCACGGTTGAAAAAAAGACATGTGCTGAAGAGGTTACAATTTGCCAAAGAGCACATTGACTGGCCTAAAGAGAAATGGCGCAACATTTTGTGGACTGATGAAAGTAAGATTGTTCTTTTTGGGTCTAGTGGCCGGAGACAGTTTGTCAGACGACCCCCAAACACTGAATTCAAGCCACAGTATACTGTGAAGACAGTGAAGCATGGTTGCGCAAGCATCATGATATGGGGATGTTTCTCATACTACGGTGTTGGGCCTATTTATCACATACCAGGGATCATGGATCAGTTTGAATACATCAGAATACTTGAAGAGGTCATGCTGCCTTATGCTGAAGAGGAAGTGCCCTTGAAATGGGTGTTCCAACAAGACAACGACCCCAAACACACCAGTAAATGTGCAACATCTTGGTTCCAGACCAACAAGATTGATGTTATGGAGTGGCCAGCTTATTCCAATAGAAAACTTGTGGGGGTGACATCAAAAACGCAGTTTCTGAGGCAAAACCAAAAAATAGAGAAGAACTGTGGAATGCAGTCCAGTCATCCTGGGCTGGAATACCTGTTCACAGGTGCCAGAAGTTGGTTGACTCCATGCAACACAGATGTACAGCAGTTCTCAGAAACAGTGCTTATACAACTAAATATTAATTAAGTGATTCAAAGGAAAGCAAAATGTTCAAACATTTTTCAGTTTCTATAGTGAATGTTTGAGTTTGTAAAGAAGAATACAAACACTGCTATTTTTTTGAACAGTCTAATATTCACTTTTCTTAAATTCTTTTAGAGGAACACCACAAATTTGATCTATTTTTCTTCATGTTTTGATTTGGAATAGAATGTGTAGTGTTCCCAATGCATTTGTGTGTATGGAAATAAAAGCTATTAGAAGGATTTTGAGCTTTATTCACTTTTTTCAACACACTGCTATTATTTTGAACACAACTGTACATAGCAGGTGTCAAGTAACAGAATGCACAAAGAAAGGCAGATTGTAAGTGTTGTACAAGTGACAGCAGGAAACATATTTCCAAAACTCTAGGGTAATTAAATAAAGTACACAATCTAATATATATAATCATCGTGGCAGTTAGCCGGTTTAAACACCCTGAAATCAGTCGTAATTCAGGAGATCCCCTTTGCAGGCGCAATCCCTTTGGGCTAAGATCTACTTAGGTTGGGATTCTTCCTCTTAAGAGTAAGGAGGGTAAAAAGCCAAAAACAATCGCTCAGAAACTGTGTTCTCAGAATTAAACACAACATTTAAATCCTAATCCATTAGTGCAGGAAATGTTCAGAACTGGATTTATTTTGGTTTCGTTTTCTGAGCACACAAGGTCAACTCGAAGCACAGCATTTAACTTATACATAAATATGCAACGAAAATCCCGGAAATGTGGCTTCCTTTACTTGCTACACATATCAAGTTCAGGAATTTTAGATTTTTTTTGGGGGGGGAGGGTTTATGTAATATTGGGGATACCACCCTGACTGGAGTACAGCAGTTACCACATCAAAGTTCCACCTTATTTGTACGGTTTTTATTACATACATTCAATGTGTATACAGACACATGGCCGCTGCCCAGGAAGTGGTTAAAGGTTATGCTGTCCCAGGCTTGTTGTTTATGTCTGGTATGACAGCCTATCTTTAGCTGTCTGTTTAAAATTAGTTATGCTGTCAAAATTTCCTAATGCCTGCAAATACTGTTGACCATTATTGTGCTTTCTACACTTTTTTTGAATTCCACAACTGAACATAACATAAAAGCAAGGGCTTTAAAATAGGATTTTTCTTTCTTGTGAAACTTTTCTAGGCGTACATCACAGGACACAGGCTGGTAATTCAGTCACAAAAGGGTAACTGGGCACTGGTGAAGCACAGCTGTAAGGACAGACCAGCATACTGTATCATCAGTTTTACAGCAAACATACATAAGCGTGGATCACAAATACAGAAAGGAGGGGGCTGTGTCCTGCATTGTACTTTAAGAAAAGTATTTTACAGGTAAAGACTTAAGTTCTTTTGTCTTGGTAATTCAGTCACCAATAGGATGCCTCACAGCAGTCCAACTGAGGGGTGGGCAACAGCGAGCAATGGGGTTGATTTACTAAAGGTAAAACAGACTGTGCACTTTGCAAAGTGCAAATGCACTCTGCAAGAGCAGTTGCTCCAGAGCTTAGTAAAGCAGAAGCTCTGCGGACTTCCATCATCCAATCATGTGTACTTTCAGGGATGGAACTTCCCAGCTTTGGACCTAGCAGAGGAGTTGTGGAAGGAGTCTCAGAGGGGAAAAGGTATAGATCAGGCTAAACTGATCTCATGGAGTTACCAGAGCATCTACTGCAAAAGTCAGAATGCCTGATCCTCACACCAAATCTTTTCAGCCTCATGAACCTGGAAGCTAGGAGGTTGACTTTTGGCACCCCCCCCGCAACAGAGAGCTTGAAACGCTTCACTTTTTATTTAGTAGGCATTATTTCTTCAAGGAAAAGGATATCATCAAAAGGATAGGCTTGTGTTCAGGCATTATGCAGGGTTGACATCTTCATACAGGA